GCTGCCACCACTTCCTATTCCCCCGTTAATTACACATTGGGTGAAGAAGTACTTCCTTTTATCTGTTCTAAGCCTACTGCTCATTAATTTCATTAAGTGCCTACGAGTTCTTGTATTGTATTCTCTATTCCATGCATAATTTTGTAAGCTTATATCATGTCACCCCTCAGTTGTCATTTCTCCAGGCTTAAAGAGCCCTAACCTCTTCACAGGGAAGATGTTCTATTCCTTTAATCGTTTTAGTTGCCCTTTTCTGTACTTTTTCCAATGCTATAATATCTTTTTTGAGGTACCATGATGAGAATTGTCCACAGTATTCCAAATGAAGCCGCACCATAGATTTATACAGGGACATTATGATACTGGCTGTTTGCTTTCAATCCCCTTCCTAATAATCCCCAGCATAGCATTTCCCTTTTTTATTGCAGTCACACACTGAGTCAACATCTTCAGTGAGTTATCTACCTTAACTCCAAGATCTCTCTCCTGGTCAGTTACCATCACATCAATGTATATTTATAGTTAGTATTTTTGGCTCCAATGTGCATTACTTTGCACTTGCCCTCAATGAACCTCATTTGCCATGTTGGCGCCCATAGGCGTAATCTTCGTGGGGGCGGCGGGGCTTCAGCCCCCGCCAAAATTTTCAGGAAAGTGCTCAGCCTCCCCCGGGAGCCACCCTTGCTCCTAGCACAGCAATGCCTCTGGCCCAGCCCCAGCCCCCCCCGGGAAATTGGAAAGTCTACACCCTTGTTGGCGCCCATTCACCCAGCTTCAACAGATCCCTCTGGAGTGCCTCACAGTCCCTCTCTGGTTTACACCACACTGAAGTTAGGTGTAATAAAGTTTAAAAGTGATATTACAGCTTAAACTAGCTTTGTAAACTCAGTTTTAGTCATTGTCCTTTGTTTGACCCTCTATTGAACCCTTCTGGTACTGCAGTAAAACTAGCCAAGAACCTCAGAGCCTGTTTAGAATAAAAATTAACTGCACCTAGGTAGTTTGAGCAGCTACAACAGAAGTAAAATTAGAACTAGAGCAGAACTAAAATTAGAGCTAAAATTAGCCACACCTGAGTAGTCTGAGCAGCTACAACACTGAGAAGTTCCAAAATGTTGGTACCTAAAGGTATTTTTTGTTCTATTTACCCTCCTTACTATTTTTAACACTTTTCACTTAGCCATTCTTGATAGTTTTATATGAAAACTTAAGGGGTGTGTGTATGTGTATATATGTGTTACTCACCCTCTCTTTGCTCGTCTGCTAAACTCACCTATTTATTCCCTTGTTCCTGGATCTGGGACACTTTAGCACTGGAGTGGGGCCTGCATGTAGGAGCCCTAAATAAATAGCTTAGGCCAAGGCTCCGCACCCCACTGGAGCCAATCACACTGACTGGGAGTTAATCAATAAAGGAGGATGAGTCATCAGACATGTACGTAGTTTACTACCACCTGGGAATGTAAAAATGGGATCTTTCAAGCCCCTGGCAGGCCCCAAACTAATGGCTGGGATTCAGAAGGCCACCTTGAGTCCATTGCAGCCTAGCCTACATCACAGGGTTCTTATGAGGATACAATGGAGGAGAGGAGAACGATGTAGCCATCTTGGGTCCCCACTAGGGAGAAAGGCAGAGTATATATGAGGTAAATAAACTTCAGGGAGGGGGGAATGGCTCAAGCGAAAATGATTTCACAAACATATTTTCCTAGCAGTTTTAAGTTTTCATGTTATTCTCCCTCAAAGGATGCTTCTATTTGTCTTCTATAAACTAACACAGTCACTGTTCTTCCTATGTCTTCTAAGTGTGAAAAAAATTAAAAAATAAGCATTTCACCTCATGATAACTAGAACAGCAATTCTTGAGTTCCTTACCTATTAATCTCTCATTCTATATCAGAATGATCACTTAAGTTACATCTTGTGTGGTGGGTTTGACTGATACACAAATGTCTTTTGATGTCTGCCTCTTTTTGCATTCATGCTGTTTCTTTTAATTTTTGTTCAGAAAAATATCTATTTGCTGCTATGCAGCAGATTCCTCATTGTTCCCAGCTAATTTTATCTTGTTGCATCACTTACTTTCTGCTGCTTGCAACTTGCATCAGAAAACAAGCTAAATCAAACAAAGCTTATTACTAATTTGGTGGCCAGACTTAAGTTTTGGGTTGGGTGTGATGTTTCAACATTTTTTTTTATTTACAGCCCAATCCTACACACGCTGACTCAGAAGTAAGTCCCACAAAATTCTTCAACGGGCCTATGTCACAGATAAACGTGCATGGGATTTCAACCACAGTCTTTATTTTTAGTTGTATATTTTGAATGTTTATTTTAAAATGGTAGCTTGCACCACAGCCAAAGGCTAGGGTTGCAGAAAGTTACTTGTCATTGAGAACATGAAAGGCAGCCAATTATTTACTTTTGAAGAAGAGCTGGTAATACTTGCAACACATTAAGTGTGATAGTCTAAAATGCTTTAAGAAACAAATAGGATTATTTGTGTAGTGTTTTTTTAAGGATTGAGTCTCCTTTTCTCCCCTTTTGGCTAGACAACTAAACATATATAATGTTCCCCAATAAAGATGCCTCCATTTCCGCACTGTGTAGCAACCTAAGCTGCAGGCTAAGAAAGGGAATAAAGAGAAATGCATGTCTGTTGCCATGGTGTTGACCTTTGTATATATGCTTGTGTGCATGCACACTGGTAGTATGCCACAGACAAGGCAGCCTTGCTTTTGTCTTGAAGTTATACACTTTATTCAGTGGCTCCCTTTGCACTTCAAATACGGATCTTTCATGCACACCCCTAAGATTCTGTCAACCTGTGTTTTGCTTACTGTCCAGCAACTATCTAGAGTTTAAGTGTGCAAGTTGCCTATTCCAGAAATTTAAAGTTTTATTTAAAAAAATGATACAGGATGGGATCAGTTTGTGTAAGGCAGTCAAGTCTTCCTAGCAGATATACTCTCTGAACCATAAAAACTGTGAACTCTCCCATCCTACTGTCTGGCCTCAGCTTTATCTCTAGTGTACTCAGTTCAGTTTTTACCATTTTGGTAACTGCGTAATGGGTACCCAGCCCCAGATCTCCAAAGCTCACCTGCCAATGGGAGGTTGTGAGTGTCTTGGACAGATGTGTGCAGTTTGTCTGGTTCTTACAATCCTGACTCCTAGAGAAACAGGTGGGATGAATTACGTTTTCAGACACACGTATGGCTCTGTCACGCATGTAAGAACCAGCAGAGTGTGGTGGTTTTGGCACTGAGGACCTAGGTTGAAGTCTCAAGATGACCATGTTGCTCCCTGGGTGATATTTTGTCAATTGCACATTCTCAGCCTGTGAGGATAAAGTGGAGAGAGAACCAGGCAGTGTTCCCTCTAAGCCAGTGATGGCAAAGCTTTTAGAGACCGAGTGCCCAAAATCCAACCCAAAACCCACTTATTTATCGCAAAGTGCCAACACGGCAATTTAACGTGAATACTGAGGTTTTACTTTAGAAAAAACATCCCATACATTAAGTTAAGATGATCCAAACAAAGTAAGGAAAGCAATCCCAAATGCTTTCATTTACTTAAAATTATTTGGCAGAGAATTCGACACTTTAATGATTGTCTGGGCCTGGCTGGGGCGATGGCACGTGTGCCTACAGAGAGGGCTCTGAGTGCCACCTCTGGCACCTGTGCCATAGGTTCGCCACCACTGCTCTAAGCTGAGTTAGTGTGAGCTAGCTCAGTTTTTTAGCCTCTCGCTCACACAATTTTGTCTTAACTCAGGAAGGATGGCTCCAGAGCAAATTAATTTATGGTGGCCTCGGTCACACAGCAAAGTTGCCGTGGGAGAGGCACGGATGGTGGACGGATTATCCGGGCGTGATCACACCCCAACATCTGGGAAGTGGAGCGCACCCGTGGCTTACCGCCGACAGTGCGCGTTCAAAAGCTAGTACCTCCAAGGTACTAGTAAATGTTTGCCACGGGCTGCCTCCAGATGCCCGTGGTGTGATTGCACCGGCGCGTGGCATCCCCCTCCGGTCCCTCGTTTACCCGCCGGCGTCAAGGGAAGGACCCGTGGTGTGCCGGCCGCGCATCTGATTGCGTAATAGCGGATCAAACTGCGCCGGAGCAATTAGCCACGCCTCCTCCCCGCGATATCCCGCCCGTGTGACGGGGGGCACAGTAGCCAAATCGCTTGCTCACAGCTTTAATGCCAGTAGCTCTCAAAGTAGAATTTTTGCTCAGAAGATTCCACAGCTTAGAGGGAGCATTGGAACAGGTATGATTCTGTGAACTCCTCTGAGCAAGAGTGGAACACAAGTGTAAATAGACAAGATGCTTATGCTTGGGGAGAATCTTTACATTAATTTGCCCCATCAAGATCTGTGGCTTTCTCTAATCATGCAGACCACAACAAATATTTGAAAAGGTCATTTCAACCCATACTCTTAAAGTGCTAGGGATGTCACTACAAAATACCATGGCAGCCCACTACACCTCCTTAACACCGTTCTTCCGTGGCTCCTGACTCCGGTAGACCAAAGTGATAAAAATAATTTAAAAGCACAGACCCATACATAAAAAATAGCAGACCCACGTCCTTCCACAGGTTTGGGGCCACAGCAGAAAAGACTTTGCCGACTGCACTTCAAGCAGCGACGGTACTTGTCGAAAATCTCCGGACGAGGCAAGAGTGCTTCGAAATAAGTCCCAAAGCGGCTATGACCACAACCGCACCCGTCGCCCCTCGTTCAGGGAACGGAGGCTCAGCAAAGGAAGGGCTTGCAGACCGCTCTCAGCCCCGCATCTTCTCACTTTCAGACCATTCACTGCGCGGCCCGACTCCGAAAAAGGCCGCGGCGCCCGCTTCCCCCAAGATGGCGGCGGCTCCGCCTTTTGGCTCCGGCGACTGGAAACGAGTGGGGCGGAACGTAGCCGAGGCCCGTCCTCCTCGCTGTTTGGGGGCTGGCGTGTGCGCGGGCGGGGCAGCAGAGAGGCTGGCGGACGGCGGCGGAGCTTCCGAAGGAGCGAGAGCGACGGGCCGCGGACCTGGAAGCGGAGCCGGGCGAAGGCGCGCTTCTTCTGCCTCTCAGTAAGCACGGCACGCACACCCCCTCCCCCCCCCCGGGCTCGGGGGCAGGACGTCTCGTGGGGGGTGGAATTAAGCGGGTCTTGCCCCCCACCCCGGGGGCAAAGCCGGCGTCGAGAGCCTCACGTCAGAAACTTTCCTTCCCCGGTGTTTTTGCCAGTTTGGGGATGCGAAAGGAGGCGCCGGACGGAAAGCAGATAAGCGCCTTTTCTTCGCGGTGGGAGTCCTCCGTCAGTGGGTCTCTTCTGCTGCTTCCGAAGCCTCAGGTTGCTGGGTCAGAAGCGTCCCTGAGTTTTGGCTGTCGTGTCGGGTGTCAGTCACGGTGGTTTGTGGTGTCAGGTAACTACTCGGAGCACTTAGGCTCCCATTCAGATGGAGCGGCACCGCCTGCAGACGGTGGGTCTTCTCCCGCCTTCCCTCCACTACACACCCCTTATTGATGGCGTGTGGAGAAATAGTTACAGAAGGGGGGGCCGCTCGCCTTCGACGCTTCTAGGTTTTTTTTTTAGGATCCGCCTGTGAGGACTTGCTGGTCGCCCAACAGGGGGGATCACAGCCCGGAGTACGTCCCTCTCTGTTCAGGGGGGGTTTCTGCTACTCCAAGTACGGACAGGGAGGACCACCGCCCCAGTCACGCACCAGCCCGTGTGGGGGGAGAAGCGTCTCAGCCGTGTGGCCTCTTCCCTTCTTGCTCCAGAGACGCGCGTCCGGGACGCCCCGTTTCTTTAACAGACAGAATAAAAGTCTGGCACACTTTGCTAGAGTGGAGAGCGTCTCATCCAGCTCTTCTCTTGTTCACCTTAGCACCGCAATAAAGGGGCCCCGCAGGTCGCCTACTGGGTCGTGCGCGCCGCGTGAGTAAAAATGCCTGTTTGGAAACTAATTCCGGAGACGTAGCCGTGTTGGTCTGTTGCCTTCAAAGTAACTAAGAGTCTTGTGTGGCACCATAAAGACGAATCAGGTCATTGACTTGCACTTTTCCGATGTAGAGCCCGCTTCATGTATCTGACCAAGTGAGTTCTATGACCCGGGAGAATTTATGCGAGAATAAATTAATCTTTTTTTGCAGTGAAACAGTGTTAAAAATAAATAAATAAAAGCCCTGTGTGTATTGCTTCTCTGCAGAGGGAGTTTCACAGTGTTGTTGCATGTGCTTATTTGCATCAGAAGACAAGGAACTAACTACCTGTGCCTGTGGTTGGCTAATCGAGTGGATTCCCTTCTGAAGGAAGTTAGCTGAATTGTTTTTAGGTTCTTCTAATCCAGTGATGGCGAAGCTTTTAGAGACCGAGTGCCCAAACTGCAATCCCAAACCCACTTATTTATCGCAAAGTGCCAACACGGCAATTTAATGTGAATACTGAGGTTTTACTTTAGAAAAAACAACTCATACATTAACTTAAGATGATCCAAACAAAGTAAGGAAAGCAATCCCAAATGCTTTCATTTACTTAAAATTATTTGGCAGAGAATTTGACACTTTAATGATGGTCTGGGCCTGGCTGGGGCGATGGCACATGTACCCACAGAGAGGGCTCTGAGTGCCACCTCTGGCACCCGTGCCATAGGTTTGCCACCACTGTTCTAATCGATTGGGCCTAGCATGGGACAGCTGCTATTTAAGCCACTAGTTGGAAAGCTCAGGCCTAGTACTTAAGTTAACCTGGAGACTGATAGCGACAGTATTGTTTTCGTTTGTTGGAACAAAGGATTCTGTTTAAGTTTGGAGTCTTTTTCTGAGTTTTTAGATTTTGTTAATGCTGCCTATTGCAAGGTATATATGCTGCCTATAGAACATCATTAAATGTCACCACACCTTAAAAAGGATATTATAGCTTTGGAAAAAGTGCAGAAAGGGGCAACTCGAATGATAAAAGGGTTGGAACACTTTCCCTATGAGGAAAGATTAAGGCGCTTAGGGCTCTTTAGCTTGGAGAAACGACGACTGAGGGGTGACATGATTGAGGTTTATAAGATTATGCATGGGAAAGAGCAGGTAGAGAAAGAGGTACTTTTCTCCCTTCTCACAATACAAGAACTCATGGGCACTCAATGAAATGGCTGAGCGGTCGGGTTAGAACGGATAAAAGGAAGTACTTCTTCACCCAAAGAGTGATTAACACTTGGAATTCACTGCCACAGGAAGTGGTGGCGGCTACAAGCATAGACGGCTTCAAAAGGGAATTAGATAAGCATATGGAGCAGAGGTCCGTCAGTGGCTATTAGCCACAAGGTATAGATAGGGACTCTGGGGCAAGTGATGCTCTGTCATCTTGGTGCTTGGGGGGGTCAACAGTGGGAGGGCTTCTAATGTCCTGGCCCCACTGGTGGACCTCCTGATGGCACTGGTATTTCTGGCCACTGTGTGACACAGAGTGTTGGACTGGATGGGCCTTTGGCCTGATCCAACATTGGCATCTCTTATGTTCTTATGTTCTTACAGTTTATGAAATTTGATGCAAATGTGCCCAGTCAGTTGCCACTTTCCATAGTGAAAATCACCTGATTGAACTCTTGCCTGCCCACTAGATTAAAGTATTTTATTTACCCTCTCCAAATGATTGTCTTATTTGTGCATTGCAATAGAGCATTTATAATTTTATTTTACAGTGTGATAACCTGTGGTTATAAACTGTAAATATAACCCCAAAAGGATTTCATTCTCACTTGGTTATTTTTTTTTTAAATGAAGAGGCATAATGGCTTCTGGTTAAGGAATTTAACTGTAACAGCAATATTTCTCAAACGAGAGTTAAAAGGAAAGAATCAATTGAGATATATATATTATTGTAGGATTTTGAGCTACTGTTGCAAATTCCTGTGCAGTGGTTATTTCCTGCCCCCTCCCCCCAATAGTGCTATATTGGATTTGAATTAGCGCACACCTAATTGCTAGCAGGGTTTTAGAGATGTTCGGCAATATCTGTGCTTTTTTGTGATTGGTGTTCTTTTTAACTCAAAGTCTTCTTTTGTAAGCAAATTGCTGGCATGTAGGAAGGTGTAATTGGTTTTCTCTTACCCGGTGACAAGTTCTTTGGCTTGCCCTTGTAATTGTTGGTCCCAGCATTTAAATCATGAGTCATCCTCTTGATCATGTAGATAAGTTTAAAATTAATGGTAGTTAAACTTGTATTGTAGGATTTTTTACATTCTTATTTCTGTGACTTGAGAGGTGCTATGCTGCTCTTAGTTTTTAAAGTTCTGTTACTTTTATAGCAACGTTTTTCATAATTTCAGCAAACTGTTTTTTTAAAAAAAATTAGGCATACAAACACCCTTAGTTCACGCAACTATTTCATCTGTTATGTAAATTTATTCCATGGGTGATGAAGCTGGGGAAGTACTTGGGATTTGAATTTTAACAAGGCAATGCTCTTCTTTTAGTGTGGCATACCTGAAATGTATGCCATGAGCAACGATTAGTTAGTGAATCTAAGTAGATTTGCATCTGTCTTTTATTTCACTTAATATACTGGCTATTTAAATGAAGATATTTGGATCTATACTCTCCAAGCATGATGCTTAGTTATGAATTTTGCTTCTTATGACTGGGCCAGGCAGACGGGAAGGGAGAAGACAGTGCAGACTCACGGGAGAGGGAATAATACAGTCAGTGCTTTATTGATTACAGATTCTTCAGGTCTTGGTGTGGCATGGGTGAGGAAGAATGGGCGCTGCTGGCAGCCTGACCCACCTATTGGGCATAACTGGACACAGGAATGCTCCTGCTTAAGACAGGGAGCTGGATTTTTTGCAGCTGAAGAACTGAGACAAATCTGTTTAGAGACCCATGTGTTAAACTATGTGTAAACAGCCTGTTTCAAAACAACAGACTAACTTTTGCGCATACTTATAGTGTAACATTTTTAAAAGTGCTAGCCTAACTGATTTTTTAAAATATAAAATAGAACTTGTACTCTTGTTAGCATAGTTACTGTGCCTCTAAACAGGGAGGAATTCTGTCGCTGGCAGTAGATTTGAAATTTCATCTGCTAGATCTTGAAAATACTTCTTGTAGTAAATCCTTAAACCTATAGTGGCAGTTTAAGGAAAATATCTAGTGGCATGGGGTGTGTGTTAAAATATCGTGCTATAGATTCTGGTGGCCCCAGTTTTTAACATAAGATCACAAATCAGTTAGTCAAGCCACTTGTTCCCAGTACTGCCCAGGTGGGTACCTCCAAGATTACATTCAGACATAACATTAAGAGGACACTGGCAACAAGCCAGGTGCATGCACAGACTTGCATACATCCCTCACTCTTGCTCCCTTCCAAGATGGAGGAATTCTGATTTAAAAGAAAATCTGATTACCTGTGAGTTGTGAGTGCAGGATCTCAGGCTAACTGTAGCTAGTTTTCTCCTCTGAACTTGGATTCAACAATGGTTTCAAATTCTGGCTTTCAGGGAAGCAGGGGGGAGAGCTAACTTGCATTCATATGTTGTTGTTTAAAACCAGGTTCCCTTCATTGTACTCTGGGTGAGAAAGAAGGGTAAGGAAACCGAAGTAAGGTGTGTGATCCCAGCAGCAAACTGGATTCGTGCTGAATGTTGACAACATGACGTCTGAACGCAGCCTAAAAAGCCCATAAGCATGTCTCTCCCACTGTTTGGTTCCAGCATCTGGTTTTCAGTGGTCTGCTGTCTCTGAATATGAAGATTCCCTCCTGTTTTCTTGGCCTGTAGACATGTGACTTGTAGTAGTTCAGTTTTACCCTTCCCATCCATGGGTCTGGGAGGGTAATGAGTAGAGAAATTTAATATAGCAATCCCAAAACTAGAATTCGTTAAACGAATTAGCTAAGCACCCTTTGCCATCTATGCACATTTTAATGGGAAAGACTAATGCTTGGTAGATGGAAAGGAACCACTTATTTTTAATGTTGTCTTCTTTGTAGATTGGCAGTGGCGGAAGGGGGTAATTCTCTCACATATGCGATTACAATTTATTTTCTAAAGTAAAAGTGGTATCTTATTGGATGTATACATTCCCAGTTTGTATTGGAGATAAAAGATGCACAATGCTAAATTTCCATCTCTAATTACAGTCTGTATAAATTTTATACACTGTGCTTTCTTTAGCCCATAACAGAACATACATTGTCATTGGGGCATCTGTACTTATAAAGGCCATATTGTGTGCATTCATAATGTTTCATTCTCTCTTGCCATCAGCATCTCTTTCCAAAGGGTTTGATATCTTAAGCCTAGTTTTATCCATAGCTCTTACTGTTTCTGGTTGTGTAGCTGTTTTACTATGACTTCTTCGGATTTCAGCCCCTTCCTTTAATCTGCTAAATTCCTGTTAATTTGATAAATTATGTTCCAGACTTAATATTGTAGCATACTAGTAAATAACTTAACTGGGATGTCTATTTTGATTTGTCTGCAGGTTCACAAAGGTTTAGTTTATGTTCCAAAAGTGCATGTGGGAAGGTTAAAAATCCTACTCTGACATGTCAAATAGCTGTGTCACTTGTACAAGCAAAATAGAAAAAGCTTCCTGGTTGTGGCTTGGGCCTCTGCTTTTCAAGAGAAACAATTCTATTGTGCCAACACTTTCTTTAGCCACTAGGTCACTTAGTACAGGTACCCCCAGGCCAGGTTGGGGATTCTGTTAGAATTGTTGAAATGTGTTATAATTATTGCCAATCTAGATCCATTGGAGAAACACTCATAGTGAATTTAAAAGTTAAGAGTGTTTTTCTCACCTTAAGGCATGAAGAAGAGCATTGTCCAGAGGGAACAGTCTTTGCAGCTGTTTTACAAACATTTTGAGCTCTCCCTAATTAACTCAGTCTGCCTCCTGTCCTCCTGCAAAAGAAGCCGAATCTGTGTTATCCAAGTGAAGATT